TTTGAGAGATTGGAAATAATCGAAAATTCATCAGTGGCGTAGAAAATTTGGGAGGAAAAGTTATCACAACCCTCTGTAGCGCACCTCTGGGTAAAATTCTCGGAATGTCTTTCTGGTCAAAAAATTAACCATTGAAAGATGAAACCATATACCGAATTTGAATGAATTATATTCAATTTTTCTTGAGATATTGCGAAAAACCTATATTAATTTCTTCACTTCAACGCCCTGTATCTCAAGAACTGAACACTTGAATTATTATATGAAATCACGAGGGCTATCACCTGTCAAGCGTTGTCGGTCGAATTTCGCAACACCCTGTATATATATCGTTATTTATTTATTCTATTATTTTATTCGTTTGTTTTTGTATATATGTACCACTTGTATTTTTTGACTTGTCTCATGTTGTGTAAATGACCTGAAAAGATTAATAAACTATACTATCTATCTACCCAAGATGATGATTTTTGTGAATTTTTTCGAAACCCTCTATGATAAAATTATCTATCTATCCAAGATGATGATTTTTGTGAATTTTTTCGAAACCCTTCATGATAAAATAACTAAATTTCGTTCATGTACCTAATTTTGTATGCATAATTTGAAAATATTGAATTTTGATCAGGGGTGTGGGAAACTTCTTTGCTTTTTTGCAATTTCCGGCAGTTTTACTATAAAATATGGAAATATCATTTTTACTAAAAAATGGTACTCTTGTTTAGTTTCTTTTTTCGCATTAAGCATAGGTCTGGGCCCATAACCACTTTTGTGCTTCAACAGAAAATTTAAAAATATTCAGTTCGAAAGGCAGACAAAATTAAAATATATTGCCAAATCAGAAGTCACTCAAAATCCCCACAATATAGGGTAAATCAATTACAAATGAATTAAAGAATAATAATGTTGAGAAGCCGAGCTGGTAGACTTCTAACAGATAGCACTAACCATTTTCGAGATAAATCGATATCAAAAGTCTGCTGCATAATAAAAATAGTACTTTTTCTTAATAGAGTACTTACGATATTGTTCATCAATTTATTATTTTCATTTCATCCCCCATATTTTCAATCAAACATTGAAACTAGGTGTTGAAACAAGGGATATTTTCCATCAAACCATAATTTTTGGGAAAATTCGGTACTCTGTTAGGAAAAAAGTTTTTTTTTTCAAAAACTTTATTGAGATAATGCAACAGAAAAACAACATATTGTAATGATATTCCCCTTAGACCCCTCTAGAAACATCAGCAGAAAGGCAGGAGTACAACGATCATCCTGTAACACGCATCCCAGATTGTTCTCCAACCTCCCAATGATACCTACATGCACCAGCATATTTGACAAATAACGTGACAGAAGATTCTGGAATGTTCTGGAAACAATCGATGGAACAATTAGAGAGGTATTGTTCTAAGAAGCTTCTAGAACAAAATGAAGGGTACGGAAGATCATTCGAGAACCGTCGAGAAGCAAAGCCTACCAAGGGATCCCATATATAAGGACGGCCGAACAACTGTTTTACATAAATAGTAGTTATAAGTTCGATATAAATTAGTGTTTCTTTAGTTGAAATAAATCAGTTCGAGAATAAATATTGTTATGGCGCAACGAAGGATGAATTTAAAGTACCAGGTGGCCAAAAAGCTATTCGTAGCTTTCTTCAAATTATGAATTGACTCTCCGTTACTTGATGGAAATCCATGGCAATTGTAAAAACTTCACAAACGATAAGATCACCAAAATTCTCAAACATGTCGTGTGTTTGAGAAGCTGGCCACCTCAATATTTCTAATGAAAAACAATTGCAATATAGGTATACATTTACAATTTCAAACTGATTATGATTTGAATAACGGTAAGCATCTGTTCACAACTCAACTCTTTGTAATGTTTATAACAGAATTAAATAAATGAATGAATAAATAAATAAAAATATGAATAACTTATATAACTCATCAAGTTTGTGAGGATAGAATTTCTATATTTGAGTCTTAAAATTGCTATCTGTTATTTCTTTTGAAAGAGTGTTGTAAGTCTTCATGCATTGACTGATGGCACAGGTTCTAAGAAGATATTGTTTTGCCTTCCGGTATTATGATCAGGAAGCTGAATAACAAAAGTGGAGTTGGTATTACATTAAAGTTCATTTCTTATAACTAATGTTGTAAAATTTCCGGAAATATATTTTCGGAAATATTTCCTGAAACATTGGAAATAAATGGAAATATTGGAAACAGGTATTATATTTATATGTATAGAACAATAAGAAGTAATTAAAAAAGGAATATTTATATATAAAAAAACATAACAATACACAGAATGCGTACACATGAAAACAAATAAAGTAATTAAAAAAAAGGTGAAACTTGTTGAAAAAAATCTTATTTTTGACAAACAAGAACAAGTCAAGCAAGAGGCATAAATAACAAAACACACATTGCTTTCACATGCAGTTATTGAAAATAACATAAAAAGTGAAAAAACTTGAAAAATTTTCAATTTAAAAGCTTAAAAAAAAGAAAATAAAATTTTCCTTTCACATTTCAACTAACAATTTATAACCTCAGTATACACAATATATAGGATCATGGAAGCTTGTGGTGATGATCAATATTTAATAAAATTAAAATTTTAAGAATTTAAACTTAACGATTTACTTGTGTCTATGCTTCTGTAAATAAACTAGTACTAATTTAATTATGTGAATACTGCTAAGTTCAAATACTTAAAATTGCAATTCAATTAAATATTAACAACAAGAAAACAAAATTTTGACACTCTCAACCACAGAGGCAGAGTTAGTAGCTCTTAGCAGTTCAGTTAATGGAGGTCTCTGGTTTAAGAAGATTTTAATTGATTTTAAATTCAATACAGGGAAAATAGTATTTTTTGAAGACAATCAGGGTTGTATAGCTCTAGTGAACAATCCAGGAAATAATCAGAGTAAAAGATATTAATTAAGTACCTATTGTTTCATATATGATAATATAGAAAAAAAATATGTAGTGTTAGGTATATGGAGTGAAATATCAACAGGCTGATATTTCAACTAAAGGACTGTCCTATAAATTATTCAAAAATTCCTAGTTTCTTATTGGTGTAAGGGATTTTAGCAAGAGGGCTGTTAGATATAACCTAAATTCCTTACATATTATTATAAGAATAAGTGTGTGGCAATACTAGTTTGTCAGAAGTCATAAGTCTACATCTTTAGATTTTTGTTCTGTGTATGTGCTTGATGGATACAGAAAGAATGAGGTATAATAAATCAAATGATGAGAGTTATGAATAAGAAATAAATGATGTATTCATTGGTCATTCTACTGGGGTAAATGAATGAAACTAACAAAACTAGGAATGCAGCTGGATTTATTAATGAAAAACCTCAAAAAGTGTACTTATGATTTGACATAATCAAGATGGGCCTAGGTAGTCTATGCAGCAGAATTTTAAAATCGATTTATCTGGAAAATGGTGTATGCTATAGAAACTGAACAAGAATACCATTTTCAAGTCAAAATCTTAGGATTTACATATTTGCTGATGAAACTACCGAATTTTGGAAAATTCTCAACATTTTCAAATTAGGCAAAATGCTGAATATACTGTATTTAGGAAATCTCTTATGGCTTACCTTGGATGATGGAATGAGGTCCACATATTTTTCTCCTGGTTGCCATGGGGATGAATATGAGGATAAAAATGTAGGATTGGAAGAATGAATAATCAAGGTAGATATTGGATCCACAATATATGCAAAATTGAAAGTTATTCAGTTTCACAGTTTCAATTGCTACAAAACAATTCAGTACCGCCAAAGCCAAACTATCTCATTTCCTGTCCACAAATTTCAAAAATGTGATCTGATGAATATTGCTACAAATGATCCATGTTATGTACGCAACACACAATACACCAAAATCTTTTGTTATAGCCCAGGAAATGAAAGAACAATTCAACTTATTCCAAAAATGAAACATAATCCATAAAATTATTAATGTGGCTTCAACAGGCATAAAGAATTAGGTGCATGTACAAAATTTAATTATTTTACCACCAAGGGTTTTCAAAATATTCACATAAAACCATCATATTGGGTTTTCCTTTAGATGGCTATAACCTCGGCTATAACCTCCAAGGGGCCATTTCTGGATTCATGTTTATGTTTTTCACTATTTTTGTTCCTAGAATCTATGTAATTTCGGGACACCCTGTATACAGGGTATATCTTATTCATGAGTTAATGCAATCTATATATATGGAGAACTGGAAGTAGCACTATTCTGAAAATTTGTAGGAATGGTGAAGCCAAAGGAATCTGTCTGATTGCCTGTGAATTTGGTTTGCAACTTTGGAAATTTAGAGATTATCTAGGAGATTCTCCCACACTTAACAATTTTCACAAAGTAGGTGATATCAAGATTTCTAAACTTCTTCAAACTATCTCACCATTATCTATGCAATAACCATGATCTTGGTCTCATTTGGCACAATGGCAAGACACAACTATTACCATACATCATTCAACAACTCTCTTTCAGAAAGGATTCACTTACAATGCTGTTAAATTGATCAATTCATTACCTGAAACTATGATGAACCTTACTAAGTCTGCTTTCAAGCTTCATTTCAAGCAGAATCTCTTAGCAGACCTACCTATCTGAATAGATAATTATTCTGATGTAAATGATAGGATTTAAAGATGTAAAGGACATAATCTTTTGTTAAATGCTAACTTTTATGCAGATCATTATGGGGTTAGATGTAAGAGTAGCCTAGCTAAATTTCGCCCCATGATGATCATTACAATTGTATTTGTTTTCATCAAATCTTTATAAATAAAGTGGATTTATTATTACTATTATTATTATTATATATCATCAGCTTTGTTTGTGTTCATGACTAACTGTTAGGGCTTGTGTGTTCATACTCTAATATAAAAAAAAATTATCAAGGTACTCTAGCTTAATGGAGGTATCATTATTCAAAATTTCATACCTTTTAGTTTTGTCTTCTTGGTCCTCATTTTTGCTGGCAATAGTTTCATCAGTATAGTCAGCATTGAAAAATGTTTTTTTATCCTTATCAGCCTCAGATGGAATCACCAACTCCAAGAAAGCAGAATTATCAAGTGGCTGAACACTCTCTAACTTAGCAGCTGCTGTGCTCAAAGTGTCAGAAGCTTTGGTTGAAAAATTAACTATAGCCTTTTGATATGGGACTAGAGCATGTGAAAACATATTACACCTTGCAGCTGCTAGTAAATCTACTTTCTGAAGGCATGCTAAGGTGTACCTATCAAATTTTACTTTAGATGTTTTTACATAGGACTGAGCTTTCCTAAATTTCTCCAATCCATGTCCTGAATCAGGATCTAATTGTGAAGACACAGATTTCATCCAACTGAGAGCAGCTCTATATTCAGTTCTAGCTTTCTCCATTTCCACTACTGTTACACGTGTATCTGTAATAGCCCTTGCCCTAAAAGTATCCACTTCATGGTGCAACCTGACTAATGATGGTCTGATTGTTAATCTTTGGTGGCCAGTATATGCTAGAGCTTTTCCAGCAACTGACATTATTTGCCCAGCAGAAGCATTTTTTTCATTTTTACCACAATCTTTTAAATATCTGCCAAGGGTATTTTCTTCCTGAGCCAAATAGCATAGGCGTTCTTGGTACAGATCTATAACACGCTGTAGTTTGCTACAGCTTTCGTTTATAGACTTAAACAATTCTAGTTTTGCATCCAACTCTGCATCTGAAGATATAATGCAATCATCCTCTTTACCTCCAAGTTTTCGAAGTACACTCTTCTTAGTGACCCAATACTGATGCTGCATTGTACAAAATTGAAAGAATATGTTTGAATATGTGTTCTTTCCTTAATTTTTATCCAACCCTCACAGTAAATGATACACAGGTATGATAATCTCGACAAGTCGACATCACGACATCATGATATTCATGATAACAAAACCATTATTGAAAATAGTGAAATTGATGCTTGAAAGATTAAACGTCAGATACCAAATGTCATAAGTTGCGTTTTATTTCTTTCATTCTGGTAGCGGTGGTGGGAACAGAATGACGTTTACAAATGAAACGAGTAACTTCATACTTCATACGCGTTTTTCATTCACATACACTAGCAATATTCTTTTTACCTTGTTACATTCTCACTACTAAGATCAATTGAGTTAGAAGGAGGTGAGACGGATCTGAGTTGTCGATTGAATAAAAAGAACATGTTTTTATCTGTCAGGAAGGGCAAGGAAAGAAAACATGACCTAACATAATTCAACCAAAATATATAATGGCTGAGGAAATTAATGAGGAGCATAGAAATATTATTGTAGTGAGTATTCGAAGGATTTAACCTGTGGACTGAAACTTCAAAGCTGAAAGCATGTCAAAATGAAAATATAACCTCACAATTTTCAGCACAGAACCACAGAATTACTAGAATTAATCCAGTCTCACCTTTTTCTCACTATAACACCAGAGGGATATTTCATTCACATTAACCGTCATGGTTAAAGCTGATGATCCCATTTCATTGTGTTCAACCGTGACGTCATTTCCGTTTGGGTACACCTCCCCTACCTGCCCTTGGGTTTACCAACTCCATAGTTGGTAAAGGTGGTTAAAGTTGAACTTGAATATTTTTTTACATTCATAAATGTGAAAAATGGAGGATATGATGGGAACATTCAAATTAAAAATGAATGGAGTGGATGATGAAGTAAGAGATACACGGGTAAACTTTTGTAGTGGGTAAAGTGAAAGAAATAGGAATTCAAAAATAGTTAATGTTGACGTCATTATGACGTAGTTGACTCCCACCACCTTCTCCGAAATACTCTAACCGGGTTTAACGGGGAATGTGAAAGAAATATCCCTCAATGAATAGCAAGCTCAGTTGGGGTGAGGGGAAAGAAATAGTCTCAATAAGTTCTTAAGACAAGTCACATCAGACCAAGATAAATGAAACATGTAATACAACTGAGCTATTGAGCTGCACTGAGAATCTTGGTTAATCTCAGTCAAAGTTGGTAAAAAGAATATTACTAATGTTGTACCCAGTTGAAGTATTTAGGGTAAGGTGGTGGGAGACAGCTACGTCATCATAATGACTTCAACAACAACCGTTTCCAACGATCCTGTTTCTTTCACATATTCTTGGTCTCCCTCTCCGATAATTGATTTCTAATTTCAATTTCAGGACGAAATTTTCCATAGTTTTTTTTGTTTCGAGGTTAGAGTTTTGAAAACCAAATCATAAATCATGAATATTTCCGATCTATGACACAACACTTTCGACATCAACCAACATATCCAACAATTGAGTCGGTGAAACTGGGGCAGATAGGGGAGGTTAAATCAAACGGAAATGACCTCATGGGGAAACAATGAAATGGGATTATCAACTTCAACCGTGTCAGTTAATGTGAACGAAAAACGCCTCAAAACATCCTTCTCATGGCCTTGCATGAGAGAATTTATGGATGATAGAGGATATTACGGCGGCGCATAGGTCGCGTGCAAGAACTGTCAGATGACCGACCCTGGAGGCAAAACATATTTGTTTACAAGTGATCGAAATAGTTTTCCACAATTATTTTGGCATATTAATCGTATTTTTCCGCTATTCATCAATTCGCTAATGCCATCACATTGTGCTGTTGTAAAATGCACAAAAACTGCAGCGGAAGATGAAGAAATCCGGATGGTACTCTATGATTCAAAAGTAAGTACCTACTATAGTCACTCACATAGTTTTCATTTTTGAAATTTGGTTATTTTTCTGATTTCTCATCGGAATTCCTTCTGCAATAGGATCAGCTAATATAAATATACCTGAAATTTCTAGAATAATGCAAGAAGATTGGATTCATGCTATCAATCGGTAGGACTGGTCTGACATGCTGACGATCGTGTGTGTTGTAGACATTTTCAATCTATTAGCAGCATTAGCTTGTATTGCAGAAGTGGCAGAAGGCAGAAGGAATTTTAATAAGGAATGACAACATTTCATAATGATAACTATGTGAGATTACTATTTACCTGAAAAATCATATTCCCTAGTCTCTTGCTGCATTTTTTGTGCATTGTACAACAGCACAATGCGAAGGCATGCTTGAATTAATGAATAACGCAAGAAACACGATTCGTATGCCAAAATATTGTGAAAAACTATTTCAACCTTTTGATTCCTCTGTAACCAAATAAAAAAGTGAGGTTGTGTTTCAATAATTCACAGAAGAATGAGGTTGTGTTTCGATATTTTGCCTCCAGGGTCGGTCTTCGTGCACGCGACCTATAAGGGCCAATAGTTGCGTTTTATTGTCATTGCTAGAGTGTTACCAGTGGGACAGAATCGCCGTTTCAATGACTATTTTGTGGAATTTAATATCATCCTGGTGCCACTGGCCATTCTGTTTCAGAATATCGAATGTGTGGTGGAATGTTTGGAATGTTTGACAAAAAACGGAATTTGACATGCATCATATAATTTTGTTGTAATGAAAAACTTTGATAAATAAAGGTAGAATCGGAATAGGAAATAGGTAGAAGCTTCTACTGACGAAAAAGATGAGCCAACAAAAGTGAAAAAATGAGCATGCAACTCATGGAAACATTCAGGAGTCATTCTAAGAGGCTCTGAAAGGTATTTCGGTATAACAACCTCATGAAGATTTTCACTTTTTGGGGCTTCTTCATTACACATTCTGAAAAAGGTCTGTGTGAAACATTCATCATCCTGGATTTATTTATGTGATCTAACGAATTCATGATAATTTCAAGAAGAATGTCGCTAATTATTATCTTCTTCAACAACTATAAGTTTCAATTCACTTTTCATTTACATATTTAAGATGGTGCTCACTGCATGATTCACTACAATATTCTTCATTATGTACCATCAAGATTTGAAAATATCGAATAACACCAATTTCTAGGAAATAATTATTGATTAGTTATAGTAGAAATACCCACGCACCTACCCCACAGCCCGCACGTACCAAAATTAGTATTCAATATTATGTATCATCAATCCAATTGAACCAATCCAATGATCCGAAAATTGGTATAATCATCTGAACTTCGATTTTTTTCTGATGATTAGAATTAGATAGAATATATTTTGATTGTGAGTGGTTAACACACGGTTGTCATCACAGTAATGTCATTCTTCATTTTTCCCGATTGTCGAAATAATTGTCACTTCCATTCTGACAATTGTCACTTTCAATTAGAGATTCAGAATCAGTCGAAGATCTCTCGTCAGCTCTAATCCTTCATGAGCGTTACGTCTCACCTGCTCCTAAATCAGGTGATGCTCTTTACACCAAAAGTGTAACAGTACCGAAGAAGGAGGAGAAAATCATTTCTAACAACACCAACTGCAAGTACTGCAACTTGAGAGGTCACTGGCTTCGACAGTACCCAAGATGAAAATCAGACGGTAAACCGTCGTATCCAGCGCGTGCTGGCGAATCTAGTACAGCTTCGACGACTGACTCTGCGGATGGATCGAGTAGCTCACACGCAGTCGTGACTGAAACCCGTAATGAGCTGATCTCCATTAGTAGTGACATAAATATGGCAACCACAAACGATCAGTGGTGGATTGACAACGGTGCTACTCGTCATATAACCTCGAATTTGAACTGGTATACCGATTACAAACAGTTTCCTGAGAATTTCAATGCTACCGTTAAAGCTGCGGGAAAGTAGGAGATCAAAGCATTTGGAGCGGCTTACTACGTCAACGGCAAGTTGAAAACATTCATACTCAAAGAAGTGTGGTATGTTCCTGCTATTTCACGAAATCTTGTCTCCCTCCTTGCAGCCCATGATAGAAATCCTGGAAGTAAGTTTGAATCAACGGATACGAAGTGTTGATTCAGTATCAAGAATCAAATAATATTCGAGGGAATTTGAAGCACAGGTGGCACACTATATCACGCTAAATTCCATACGTTGCCGCCAGCAGAAGTTTGTGCAGGTGTGCTGAACACGATCAGACACTTCAGCTTTACCACCAACGTTGGGGTCATATGGACAAGCGCTACGACCGAGCGAAGCTTAGTTCTGAGTTGGGAATGAAACTGCATATCGACGATGGGCTTTGCGAACCATGGACCCTATTCTCAAATGGTGAGATATTTTGTGGCATGCAAGATTTCTACATTGTCAAACAAAAAACGTGAGTGCTCATTCTCGAATGACGCATTCGAAAATTTGCGATAGACAAATTGTAGAGGGGTCTTCTGAGTTCTCCACTCGTTATTTTGAGAAATGCAGCTTCATTAATAGAAATTGAAAACATTTTGAGAAATGCAGCTTCATTAATAGAAATTGAAAACATGGAAAATCAAGAAAATCATCAAAGGTCACGAGAAAACGTATATATATCATTATTTTTTACATTCATCAAATTGAGTGTTTTCTTTTGAGATGAAGCACAATGTTTTTCTTCCACTACCATTATTTCAACATAACATTGACATAACCTCAATTGATAACAACAATAAAGAAACCACAACAAATTGGCACGGAACACATTCTAGAATCGTTAATTCAATGTTGCCATTTCAAACTATTCAACAAAATTTGTCTCATGTGAGTTTAAAGTCGAAAGCAGGGCGAGGGCAGGTGACGTCACATGACAGCTGTCTTTAGTTGTCAATCAGCCTGCTGGACAAATAAACCATATTTCCATAAACAACAATGATAATTTAATGATATTATAATTGAAATTCTGAGGAAATTATAGGTTTGCACCTAAAGGAAGGGAACATAATGTATATTGATATCATTTTTCTACTTGCTTGCAAAAATACTGTTTGTAAGATGGCTGATAAAAGTGATTATTTCAATATATTGTCTATGGATCTCCAGAAGAGATATTTAGATGAGCTGAAAGAAACCAATGGATGTGATCCCTA